CGTTTCATCATTTAGTTCCAAATGCTAGAACTCATGCCTATTTCATTCAAAGCATGCTATTGATTTGCATAAAACATATTCAAGATGAAGTTGTGTAGTTACCACCACCAAAGCCAAACTGCCATGTATCCCATATCGTTATATGTTTAAGTTAACCCCATTGAGCCTTGATAGCCTACATTCTTTGTTAAACCACATTATCCTTACCTAGCCTAGTTTAGGACCATCCATACCCTTGTTCTTGAAGCATAGTAAAACATGATTCAAATTGAATTTCTTTTGATTAATGTATGGCAGAAAACAAGTGTGGGGGAAGTGTGAGTTATTATGCTTGTTGAAAAAAAAAAAAAAAAAAAAAAAAAAAAAAAAAAAAAGAGTTTTAAAGTGCTGCTTGTTGAAGAAAGGGTCCAAAACATAGAATTCGGCCCTAATTATTGCTTGAATTTTCCCTTCGTGTCTAAAAGCTGATTTCTGCAATCTAAGTGAATTCTAAGTTTCAATTTCATTACTTTACTTGCTATTGCTTTAAGAACGATTGTTATCCTTATCCTTCATTTGTTAGCCATCACCCCAAGCCCCGTTACAACCCTTAACTTCATCTTGAGTGTCATGCGTTTCAATTTGTGGAGTTTGAATTTGATATGAGCATATGGTGTCACTGGTTCTCGCGTCTAAGTAATAGCATTCCATTCATGAGATCATATCTAAACATGCTTATTAACTCCAGAAATTGCTTTCTTTGTGATACATATATGTGAGCGTTCGTTTTCATATCTACATCAATCTTCTCACATATAACTAGTATAGGGTGTGTAGTTAGAAAATCTGAGTGAAAATTGAGTGCATATCTTGTAAGGAATTGAGTGATTTCTCTAAGGCATGTTACTACATCAAAAACATTGTTTTAATTGATTAATTGTGAACTAGTAAGTGGTGACTATGATTAAGTATGTGCTTAAGTGTAAAGATGACTCAAATCTGTGGGGATAATGATTTTTAACATGTCATGTGTTGGAAATCCCTGAGGCAAATGTTGGAAGGTTTAGGTTGTGTTTTATTTGTTTTGTTTCGTTTTATCTCTTTGTTTTGCTCGAGGACTAGCAAAAGCTAAGTGTGGGGGAATTTGATAGGAGCATATTTATGCGACTTCGTTGGCTTGTTCTTGTGCATTTATGTCGTGTTTCCTTAGTTTTTTAATGTTTAAAGTCATTTTCGTGTGTTTTCAGACTCTAAGTACAAAGTATGCAAGAAGATGCATTTTGGAGGCCTTTGGAGCATGTTTCGGGCTTGGAATGGATAGCAAATGCATGGGCCAAGTGGATGGACGAATTTGAGAACTAAAGAGGCCAAGGATATGAAGAATTATGGTCCAAAAGATGAAGAAAACAGCCCAAAAATCTGTCACCCCAACTTGCATTCCTTGCCATGCAAACCACATAGAATTCCATTTGGATTCCATGCCATGCTTGATCACTCTTGTCCCCTACATAATTTCTAATTTCATGCTTCAATTCATTTAATTATTACACTCAATTGCTTGATACCTCTTGTTCCCTTCACTCATTAGATTTTAGACAACATTTACATCCATTACATGCACCAATTGATGCTCCATCATTCACATTTGGAATCCCATGCCTTGTGTACCACATGTTGCTGCACCTTTGACCCATTTATTGACACATTTTCACCTCCCCTTCCATCTCTATGCAATGTACACAATCATTCATGCTCCCTAGCTTCAAGACCACTCCATTTTACCCTTCACACTTTGCATCATCACTTCATTTTCACCCTTGGCCATTGCACACCACACACACAAATTACCATGCATTTCATCCTTAACCTAACCTGATTTTCTAAGGTTTTTGGGGCCTATAAATACATGTTTACACCCTTGGCCAAAGGAGAATCCCCCATATTCATCATTTTATAACAGAAATTCGTCCATACACACCCTAGGAAGCAAAACACCCCAAAAACACCATTCTAGTGCCTAGAAAACATAACAGCCACTCCACCTTCTTCCACCCTCTTTTCCTAGTTCTCTACCACTCCCCAACCATCAAACACTCTTCCAATCTCTCACCCTAAACCCTTCCACAAATCCCCATCCATTCTACACCATAAATCCACCCAAAATCTGTCCACAAGCTTCATGCCGCAAGCAAGGGAAATGAGGAATCTTGGATGCACTTGCTACCAAGTTGGAGCATTTTAGGTGTTTTCTTTCCTTTGATTTTAATGTCTAATTTTATGTATCTTTGCTTTGTGAGAATGAGGAACTAAACCCCCTTAGTTGGGGGGTGATTCGAAACCATGTACATGCTTGCAATATGATTTGATTACATTCAGTTGTTATTATCATAAGTTGCGGATTCAATTCGTTCATCTACTTGATTGATAACTTATTTGTGTATGTTGATTGAGAGTGCACGCTTAGTTTTCATGCATGAATATGATGCTAGATTATGAGGGAGTTTCACCTAATAGTTACAATCTTATAATCACAAGTAGTGAAGGTCGCTTGAAAACGATCGCGTTGAATGAATTCTTGGCACTAGTTTCATGCTCATCATAGTAACGAATGCCTCGTCAACACTTATAGTTCTCATTGTGCTTCATGATTCTTGATTGTATCTTTATTGTGCTCATCACGTAAGGAACCTTTGAGGAATGCTTTGAATTGTTGTATGCGCTTTTCCATCCAATTCATTAACTTAAGGAGAACTTGAAGGTTAATTTAAGCGTATCTAATTAACTTGGGGTGTTGAGTTTCATAATTTATTGAAAGAACAACTGAAAATCATTTTTTGCAAGTGTGTCATGTGTGGAGAAGAACCTCCTAACTAGCCTTTTATCCATCCTTTTCATCCAAAAAACGTTTTACAATCTGTTTTGTTTTAAAGTTTATGTTTTGTTTTCAATTTTCGTCCAAAACAAATCCCCCTTTATTTTGAAGTCTTAGATTAGTTAGAAAGTGTTTTGATTTGTGTTTTCTAAGTGTGTTTTGATTCAAGTTTTCATCTTCGTCCAAGTTCTTGTTAGGTTCTCAAAACTGCCCAGAAAGTGGTTTTTAAGCAGTTTTGAGTCATTAGGTTGCTGTTTTGAGTTTTTGTTTGTTTAATATTTTAAGTATTTTGCATTCTTCAGTCTAGTTTTTTGTTAAAAATTTTGAAAGTCAGTTTTCAAGTGTTTAGCAATCCCTCCTAATCCCCGGCCTAGAACGATCCCTACTTACATACTTTACTACATTTGATAAAAAGAGGGTTTAATTTTGTGTGTTAACTTATTTTACGCATCAGTAAGTTGTTAATTTTTTAACACAAGTATCTCACCACATATATTGTGACATGTGATGTATAATTCCGTGTTCCGGATAAGCACTAAAAAATCTCTCGATGAGATGAATACAACTGCTCCATTTAAGAGTATGAAGTTCAAGAAATGGTTGATTTTTTATATTTAAATAAAAAGTTTAAAAAAATGCATTGAATCAGTTGGAAAATAATTTTTATAGTTTTTTTTTCCTTTTGTATTCTTTTTTTTTTTGTTAATTCATTTTTAATTTAATAGTTTAAATATAAAATAAAACATTGTACAATATAAATATCTAAATTACATATTAATAGAACTTAACCACCAAAAACCAATGAAATTACATTTATAACCTTTAATACATAACTAGAAGAAAAAAAAATTAGATAAGGAAAAAATGTGGGCATTAATTCCACACAAACAACTTTTTACTTTTTTTTTTCTTTGAACCTGACAATCATGTCACCCTATCTTTACCCTCTAAACTCACACTCTCTCTCCTTAACAGCCAACCCTTTTTTTTATGTCTACCAACCCCTTTTTTCGTTTTATCAAACGATGTTATTTACATTAAGGGATGGATGAGTGAGTTATGTCTCACAATGGGCCATCAATAATGTAGTTTAAATTTGCATTTGGCGAAAATCCAACGTCAAACCTCTCACTTATCAATGAAGAAGAATATCATTATATTGTAGTATTGAGTGCCAACAGTTAAAAACAAATAACTCCTCCCTTTTAAAAAAAAAGGAAAACTAATGAAAAGGGTTTGAAAACTTTGAGTTTTAACGATAAGGACAAAATAAAGGGTAAAGTGAATAGTATAAGGATTGACTTTTTAGTGTAAAAATGTAATTTTTCGTTAAAGTGAATGATACCGGGAGTTTTTCTTTAAAATTCCTTAAAAAAAACCAATTTTTGAGAAAAGTAAAAATAAAAATTATATTTCTAACAGATAGTGTGTGTGGCATTTGCTAGTATACATAATGTGAGAAGTAGGGATGGGCACGGGCCGGGCCGGGCCCATTTTTGAAGGGACCGGACCGGACCCGGAATAAAGGGAGACGGGCCGGACCGAGCCGGGCATTACAAATCTCAAAATAGGAACCGGACCTTACCCGGCCCGGTTGAAACGGGCCGGTTCGGTCTGGGTCCACGGGTCCTTTTTGTTTTCCTGTTTAAAGCACAGATTGAAATTTAAAAAATAAAAAAAAATAAAAAAAACCACAGATTGCTGCGGTACTACACAGATTGCAATTGCACAAATTTGCAATCTGTACAAATTTACAATTGCACATATTCAATACATCCAAAATAACATTATAGCGTCCAACATCTAAAGATCGAATCAACATACAAAATATTCAAAACCTACTTAATCCAAGACATCCAAATTCCAAAGTTGTTATATTATCACCACTTACCTCAAGTACAGTGTAGCTACCTTGTGGTTAAAACACCGTGATTAGACAAAACTTGGTACTCATGCCAAGTCTTACAGAGTGGCCAAATATCAGAAAGCCCGAATACTGAAACATATCAAAGTGTATATGATTCCAGGAAAAATATTGCAACGATAAGCATGCTCTAAATTACCTTATATCCTATTTTTAAATTTGAGCTTTTGATAGGGTTGGGTTCAATGTCAAAATAATGTCACCATAAGGTACTTCTTGTTTTACATCAACAAGACCATAAGTCTTCAAAACCTGAAAGTGACAATGAACAATCATATTAGTAGTTATATACCAATACGTGCTCAATTAGTACTTCTACAGGCAGTATAAGTTTCCTTGACCCGGGAAAAAAAAGGAGCATATTTTTTACTTGTTCACAGAGTATAAGAAAACAGATAACAAACCAATTTAACATAGAAATAAGTTGCTCTTAAAATCTGTGATGTACCATAAGATCCATGCCACATCAAATACTTGGACTCTTGGAGGACTTCCAAAAAAAACTTGCATTCAAACAAGAGAACCCAACTGATATGGTTCAAAAGATTACCAGTGTTTCATAGAACATTCGGGCACATAGCTTTCTAGTTTTTCCTTCTAAAATTTTGTCCAAGCTGAGATCTCCAGTGACGTCTTCTGAAGTTGAGGAGATAGAACATTCCCTTTTCAAAAATTGAGCCACAGCCCTGCATACCAAACGGGGAGAATAATAAGAAAAATAAATATAATGAGCCATATATAAATACAGTGACTAACTAAATCCTGTGTAAATAAAGAAAAGAAACAATTGAAAGAGAAGTACCTGGTTCTAACTGACAATGAATCAACTCCTTGTGTCCCTTGAGATCCCGGTATTCCTTGTGTCGCTTGAGATCCTGGTACAAGCGTAGATATGTCATCCAAACAGTGTACACAAAAGTAAATGAATATGAAGAATGTGTACGCTTATTTGTACAGGCAGCCAAGAAAAACATTATGCACAATTTACATGATCTCTTGAATAACAGATTAAATAAAGAAGAACAGTTCAACTTCTACAATTAGTCCACAAGGAAAAGAAGGTCAAAATGAACGAGGGTTAGGAGTTAGGATTATCATAAAAATAAGAATAAGTTTATATACTTTGAAAACACCTAATAAACAAGCTAAAAATTCAGAAAATCCACCAAATCAGCAAGAACAAACATGAACATCCCAATAGATTGAGCATAGATTACATACATGATACATCCCAATAGATCAAAGTTCAACTAAAAAGTTACAAACATCAGAGGTTAAAGAACCTATAAAAAAATTTAAAAAAAAAAAGCAAAAAAGAAGTTAAAGAATTCACCTGAACTGGCAACGGCGGTGGAGTGTTAGTGATCGCAAGGGCGGTGATGTCGTCGGGAAGGAGAGAAAGAGAATCGAGAAGATGGGTGGTGCGGGTTCCTGGGTTCTCTAGGTCTAGGGTGAGATGTCGTCGAGGAGAATAATCGAGAAGAAGATCAGCTCGGTCGTCAGGGCTCAGACTCACGACGGCGGTGATGTCGGAGGTGGGCAAGGAGGTGGGTGGTGGACCGTGGAACTGTGGAATGGAGGGGCGAGGAGAGGGGACGAGGTCAGAGACGGAGAGGTCGAGGACTCGGGTCAAGAGAGAGACTCAATCAGATTTAGAGATACTAGGGTAAAAATCAACGGTCATGATAGGGAGGTATGTTTATTTTCAATCTGGGCTGTCCATTTCAATTACAAACGGGCCGGTCCGGGGCCCCGTTTTTCTATACATTTGGAACCGGCCCGACCCTAAAATGCCATTGCACCGGCCCGCCCCGCCCCGTTTCCCCTATTAAAAAACAGGACCCGCCCCGTACCCGCCAATACCCGCCCCTACCCGCGGGCCCATGGCCCGTTTGCCCACCCCTAGTGAGAAGGCTAAAAAGGCGACACTTTCAAAATACCTAAAATGCCCCCTCTTCAAAGAATGCAATTTAATAAAACTACTTCACATACATGACGGAGTAGTTACTAATATAGTTTTTTATATTTTCATTTAGCTTTCAATATACCTAAAATGCCCCCTTTTCAAAAAATGTAATTTGACAAAACTACTTCACGTATATATATTCATTATTATATTTTTAAACACATGTAAATTCAGTTTTTTTTTAATTTATATATATATATATATATTCATTATTATATTTTTAAACACATGTAAATTCAGTTTTTTTTTTAATTTATGCATATAACGAAGAAGAGCAAATTGCCACACGCCTGCAAGGCTAGTAAAGAATATAAATTCAGGAGGCCAAATGGTGAATCATTCATAATCCCAAAAATACCCTCTCTAATTAAAATTTTAAATAAAACAATTTAATTTCACAAAAAATACAAACTAACAAAAGAAAAAATTGTCAAATGTGTAAGCGTGTAGCAAGAAACTACTTGCAAAAAGAGAGAATAACAATACGAAAATCATCTTTGTCACATTTTAGACCAAATTGACACATTAAGAAGTTGCCAAATTTTTTGAGAATATTACTAAATATGTCTCATATTTCAAAATCAAATATCAATTCGTTTTTGAATTTCCTACCCAAAGTTAAAATTAAAAATAGTTTCAGTCTTTTTAGTATTTTTCATAGAATAAAAATAATTTTAGCCAATTGATCAAAAAACAATAAAGTTTGTTCAACCTTAGACCATCTTCAATGCTTGGGCTAAAAGCCAAATATTTTAGCCCAAAAATAGTTTTTCTGCTCCAACCGTTCTAACCTAAAATTTTAGCCTGGACTTATTAAAGAATAAACTTAGGCTATTTTTTTTCTTAAATTAATTTTTTTTAAATTAATATGTAGACTATCGTAAATTAATTTTATGAATATTCTAATAAAAAAAATTTAAAATTCCGATAAATATTTTGACTCGGTTCGATGGAGCTCATACCGATTTCTCGGCTAAATTTTGGAGGGAATCTGGCATTAGTTTAGTATTTAGCATTTAGCCCAAATTTTCCCCTTGGGTTAGAGTGAGTTTGGGCGGAAATTTTTTAGGGTAATTTGACTTTTAACTCACCGATGGTCTTAACAAACACGGACTGTAGCATAGAAACGGCAGTTCCTGTTAAACCTCTTTTCCTCCCCTCACTCTTCTCTCCCATGGCAACTGCAGTGCTGCCAGTATCCGTGCCCGCCAGAAAGCAAGCCCGACCCGGTCAGGGCGGATTCGAGGCCCATGGACTATCCGAAGAAGAGGCCTGGGTCCGAGCCATCGCCGAAATCGTCAGCTCCATGGTCGACCTCTCCCGGAAGACCAAAACGTCGACCTAAACGCCCTCAAGACCACCGCGTGCCGCAAGTACGGTCTCTCACGTGCGACGAAGCTGGTTTAAATGATCGCGGCTCTGCCGGAGTCGGACCGTGAGGCTCTTCTCCCTAAGCTCAGGCCAAGACGGTCCGAACCGCCTCAGGCATCGCCGTCGTGGCCGTGATGTCGAAGCCTCATAGGTGCCCCCACATCGCCACCACCGGGAATATTTGCGTGTACTGCCCCGGTGGTCCCGATTCGGACTTTGAGTACAGCACTCAGTCTTACACTGGATACGAGCCTACTAGCATGCGCGCAATTTGGGCAGGTATGGCTTTCTCTAGTTCATTGACGCATTTTATCGAACACTTGATAGGGAATTCAAAATTTATGTTAGTCATGATTCGTTTCGAAGTTTAAAGTTTTCGGCTTGATTGATTTTTCACCATGAAATTGAGAGCTTTGTAATGAAGAGATTATTTGAAGGAATTGGTGTTTAAAATTGGATTAGTGAATTTAATTTGGTAGTTAATCTTTTGGTTTTGTGTGTTTAGATACAACCCATATGTCCAGGCTAGAAGATCAGCTGAAGAGATTGGGTCACAGTGTAGACAAGGTTTGGAGATTTCCATGATAGAGTAATATGCATGGTTGTCGCCTTATAACTGGTACTGAATTTGTGTTTTCAGGTCGAGTTCATCTTAATGGGCGGTACTTTCATGTCGTTGCCCGCAGATTACCGTGATTACTTTATTAGAAATCTGCACGATGCGTTATTGGGACACACTTCTGCCAATGTTGAAGAGGCAGTTGCCTACTCTGAGCATGGTGCTACTAAATGTATTGGAATGACCATTGAAACCTGAGATTTTAGTTTATTTCCGAAGCCTTTAATTTCTCATTCTTGTGTTTAAATTGGCTGACAGTAATTTTTCGCTTACCATCTTGTTTCCAGTTCATCTGGTCGGTCCAGAAAGTTAACAAAGGTAGTTGTAACTTTTTATTCTGCTGGAGGCCAGATTATTGCCTTGGACCTCACTTGAGACAAATGCTTTCTTATGGTTGTACAAGACTAGAAATTGGAGTTCAGAGTACATATGAGGATGTGGCTCGGGACAACAATAGAGGTCATACCGTAGCTGCAGTGGCTGATTGTTTTTACTTGGCAAAGGATGCTGGTTTTAAGGTCAGCCTAGTACCTTATCATAAAACTCACTTACCTTCACCGTGGGAAAAGATTGGATTTTGGACCTTTTATATCTACAGTGACAGGAGATTAATCTTTCATCAAAACAATTTGTGAGCCTGGATATATTTTTCAAATTATTGTGCTCTCCCATAATTCAGCGAGAATATTTTATCATATTCTAGTCATTCATGTTGATTACTTTTGTTTCACACTAATAATTTTATGCATTTGCTCTAGGTGGTTGCACACATGATGCCTGACCTTCCTAATGTAGGGGTTGAGAGAGACATGGAGAATTTCGGGAGTTCTTTGAGAGCCCCTCGTTCAGAGAAAATGGCCCTAAAATTTAACCAACACTCGTGATCTGTGGAACTGGACTCTATGAGCTTTGGAAAACGAGCAGGTACCTGAGCAACTTGTGGACATTGTAGCTCGGATCCTAGCCATGGTCCCCCCTTGGACGCGTGTTTATAGAGTTCAGCGAGACATTCCAATGCCTTTAGTTACTTCTGGGGTTGAGAAAGGAAATCTTCGGGAGTTAGCTTTGGCTTGGATGGAAGACCTGGGCTTGAAGTGCCGTGATGTTCGAACACTGAGAGGCTGGAATTCAGGTATGTGGGTAGTCATTCTTGTTTGAACATGTTTTTTGGAACTGAGGTTTTGATTTGCAAGTCGAACAAGGCATGAAATTCGGGTTGTTGTAAGTGGAGCGAGTGATGAAATATACGGTTTTAGTTTTGGAATGAATTTGGTTCTGAAGTTGGAGTTTTTTTGTTTGCAGGTATACACCAGGGGAGTTCCCGTTGCCTTCAGAAACGCGGTCTGCTGAGTTCTATAAGATGGTGCCTAGGATGCTTTCGGATGCAGGTTACAACCTATAGAAATTAGCAGTTACTGCAAGAGTGGATATCACTGCAAACACAATCTAACTTATTGGAAGAACAAGCCTTTCTATGCTGTCGGCCTTGGCTCCGCTAGCTATGTCGATGGCGTGAGGTTTTCGAGACCAAAGAGGATGAAGAGTACAGGTAATGTGGAGAATATGGAGAATGATTTGGTGGAGTGCGGTGAGGTACCGTATGGTACGTAGACGGGACGAAACGGATGTTGTTATGGATAAATTTTTCATTGGGACCGGAATACGCGTGGTACATCACGTGTTTTTATATAAATTGTGGGAAATTTTATTTTTTAAGTTGTTAACTTTTTAACACATATCACACCATTTGTATAGCGATACGTAATGTACCATCTCGTGTTTCGGTCACACCAAAAAAATTCTCTCATTGTTATCTTCTCTCTTAAAATGAAGAGAAAACATTACATTTATGTACAATTATTGCTTCCGCTGAAATTAATAATTAACAAATGCATTATGATTCTTACCCTATTAAGATAGATCATAGTTAGGGGTGAATTTGGGTACGGTTATCGTACTAAAATCCTTGTACTAAATACCATACCAAATTTTTGGGTTTGACACAATTTATTATCATTATTATGCCAAATTTTTAGCATAACTAATTATGGTATGTCAAATAGTTATAGTTCGGTTAACATGGTATGATCATAGTAATTACCACTTTATTTTGGATCACTTTTTCAGCCTAAAATCTGTTTTTTTTTTAATTTTTTATTTTTATAAATTTATATTTTGTTCCCAACCCAATTGAAGGGCAACCCCTCTCCCTTTCTTCCATCGTTCTCCGGCTTCTACTTCTACTGGTCACTAACTATGAAAGGTATGAGTGTCCGCCATGGATGACCGTGTTCTTGTCAACAATTTAATTTTCCAATATCTTCTTCTATTGATAACTTTACATGGAGTGTTATAAGTTGCATGGTTTACAGGACGAGCAAAAGAAGGCTGGAGGTACTACTCATTTAACTTTAACATATTTTTTGCCATTTAGTATTACGGTTTGGTGATATTCCTTCTCATTTTTATGGATGGCGAATTCGATACCAAATTAGATTGGGCTTAACCGAACTCACCCTCTCTAGTTTAAAATATATCGATGTACTAAAAAAAAAACTTAAGCATATTTTTCTCAAATTATTTTGATTAAATGACATGGATTATAATTAATATTTTTTTAATAAACAATATTAACTACACTAAGGGAGAGGGGATGGGCTACCAATAATGTGGTTCAAATTCGTCTTTGGCGAGAATCGAATTGGAGACCTCTCATTTATAAATGAAGAGAAATATCAATAAGCCGTAGTATTAAGTAGCTATTATAATTAATACTAACATTTGCCTACATACTTTGTGTGTATGAACACATTTTTTAGAAAATGAGAAGGAGAGGGAGAGAAAGAGAGAAAACGCGGAAGGAGTGAGAGGTTTTTTATTTTGGTTTTTTTTTAAATAGATGTTTCAATAAAAAACAATAAAATTTAGACCTATGAAATTACATTATTGCCCATCATTTTTTTGTGTGATAGAAGACTAAGTTATCTTCTCACCCTCTTTTGGTTGATAAAGAAGATTTCATTAATTAATAGAGATTATACATAATAAATAAAATGAAAAATAATAAAAACTGAAAGAAAAAACCGTACCGTTCAAACTTCAAAGTTAGGGGGAGGGTAAGAAGGACAAGGATTGGCTGCACTCCCACTTTTGGTGCCCTCCCGTGCCCTCCTGTTTGTGTGGTTACGGTTAAGTCACGTCAACATTTTATATTACTATTCATTTTTGTCTTATTATCTCTATAAAAAAAATATATAAAATGTTGACGTGATTTCACCGTAACCACACAAAACAGGAGGGTACCATAAGTGGGAGGGCAGACAATCCTTGTCTGGGTAAGAAACCTCTCCTTCTCTGCCGCATATCTCCTAGTTTTATTTATTTACTTAATTTTTTTTTGGTGATAAAAAAACCTTCCTGATCTCTTTACTCTCTAGAAACTCATGTGTTATTACCATTTATCGGACGATATGTTTTCCCGCTTGTTCAGAATGTTCTCATGCTTGGCCAATGAGAGAAAAAATCGTTTTCCACAATCTAATTTATCATTCAAAATACCAGGAATGAAGAATTAGGGTTTTGGGTTTAGTTTTGTTTACCGAACAAAATAATTCAAAAGATCGAGCAATTGCGCAATATGCTTTGTGTGCTTCTTAATTTTGTATAAATCGAATCAAATCAACATGCAGTAAAGATGGATTTTCTCTCCTCCTCCTTTCGTTCGTGACCAGTTGATTTTTTTTCCTTTTGAGTTCTATTGGATTACTTGATTCTTATTCATTTAATATAATTGTTTATTTATTACTTATAATTCACATCATCATCCATGTCACTTAAGGTTTAAACTTTTCAACATTAGTCTTAATCAAGACCATTGAATGTTATAAAGTCTAATGGCTAAAAAAGAGTGTAAAAATATCTGTCCCTTGATCATATTCTATATGTATTTTTAGATATGAATATAAATTATTCTCTACTAATTTTTCAATACAATATGGTAATATTGTTAGTAATATTATCGAATACCAATATATTCCTAAAATTTCAGTTTGCTACAATATCGTGTCATTATCGATAGGCTCAAAATCGACATGGTACGATTGTCAATCGGTGACACGATAATTCGACAAAAAAAATTCACCCTAGAGTTAATAACTCACCCGTGATAAGTGTTGAATCAGAAACTAAAAAAGTAATTGAATTTTACCGGAAGTGTATATAAACTTTTGTAATGTGAATTAAAATTACAGTGTGCTTGAGTGATTTTTCAAAACCTTCTGCTTGTTATTTGAAATAAGAGTTTTCTATTATATTTTTAGTTTTTTTCGTGCACCAATTATTTTTCTACCGACCCCAATTTCGAAGCGCAACTTTAATTGACCTCACCACGCAATTATTGTTGGCGAGCAAAATACATCCTACGCGGTTTATTTACACTAAAAAATCAAACCTGCTACTATTCACTTTACTTTTTATTTTGTCTTTATCATTAAAACTCAAAGTTTTCAATAGGGGTGGGCACTTAAAACCGAAAACCAAAACCAAAACACGAACCAAATCGAACCGCACCGAACGGTTTGGTTTTGTGGTTTTGGAACGGTTTTGGTTTTGAAACCGAACCGCAACATAGAAAACGGTTTGATTTCGGTTTTGGCTTTTGAAAACTGCACCGAAACCGAACCGCACCGCAAATATTAATAAACATTTAATTAAATGTCCATATTAAATTTCATGTTTTAATTGGTTGTTTGTTAGAATCCATGCACTTAGTATGGACACAACCACACTAGAATATCATCATTCATCACTTTCTTTCGTTCATTAACTTGAAGGACCTTTGTTATTTAATACCATCACACACACACACACATATGTACAAGGGTGGACTAATCTTGTTATCAAGAGTCGAACAATGATTTAATGAAGTGCACTCATTTGAAACATGATATCACATATTCTAGTATGAAAGTTTCACTCTTGTTTAATGAATTCAAAGTTATTCAACTTGTTTTATGTTATACCTTGTACGGGACACCTTTTAGTTGCACAAACATATTTTAACATAACAACTGCATGCAACATGCTAATTGTTTATATAACAAATGTATTTTTCTTATTACTACTGGGAAATGCTTATTAATATGTTAAATTGCAAATTGTACACTTTTTCTTAAAAACCAAACCTAAACCGTTTGAAACCGCACCGAACCGAACCAAACGGTTTGGTTTCATTTCGGTTTTGGTTTCAAAACCGCACCGAATCAAACTGCAAAAAAATTTAGTTTCGGTTTTGGTTTCACTCAAAACTGCACCAAATCAAACCGTGCCCACCCCTAATTTTCAAGTCATTTTCATTAGTTTTCCTTATATTCTACGAGCGAGCTCCATTCCCTTCATCTCATATTTGATATTTTTGTTTTCATCGACAAAGGAGCCCAACAATAACGACGTCAGAGCAACTGAAGCATATCATTGCAATTTGCAACTCTTTTGTGAGCTTCCATATGCCCCAGGGTATGTTATTCACTTATTCTGCACTCTTACTACCATATCTAATATCCTTCTAGAAAATTTCTGGAAGAAAGTATAAGGGCTTATGAGCTACATCTGACTTTTGTGTCACTTTTTTCTTCTTCTTATTATATATGTAATTCATACTCTGAGCATTCATCATTAAACACAAGACCTCAAATTCGATTTCTTCCTCGACAATTACATATATTAAAAAAATAAAATACAAAATGAAAGTTTTTTATTTTCTGTAAAGCCTATAACAATTTATTGAAAAAAAAAATGAAAGTATTCAACAAGTCTATTACAATATCTTAAAAAAATAAAATGCAAAGTGAAAATTATCTATTTTCTGTGTAGACGGGTCTAGGAGGGCGCCTCAGTAGGTCTAGGAGTCATTTCTTAATTTTTAAATTCCTAAGCATTAATTGGGACGGTGGCCAACCGTCTAACGCCGCTGGGATTTTTAGAACAATGGTTAACGTGTGGACCCAAGACTTGTTATTTTCGAATCGTTCAATGTTTGGTTAACGGGTGCTAAAAATTGTGTGGTATTTGTGTAGAGTCCAATCTACTAGACCCAAAACATTCCGTTCTTTTCGACGTGTGTACTTTCATTTAACAACAATTTTGTGATACTTGTCAACTGCCACCTACAAAGAATTGAAACTTTTGGTTATCCTTGACACTGACAAAAATCCATGACATTTGGTGGAAGAATTAGATTGAATGAGTTCGAAATTTTCAATCATAGATTTTTGTTCTTGAACCAAATTCTTTAATTCTGTGTTCTTGCAAAAAAGACTCGAGAAGTAGGTTTCGGACTTTTGAAGTATGGCCCTTTGTTAAACTGAATGAAAAGAACATAAATTTAAATTTCTTGAGTACCTTATTTAGATCTTGATTTCTTTTGGCTTGTGGTTTCGCTTTGAAAACTAAGCACATAGTCTGTAAAATACAAAAATTTATCCATTGCATTCTTTTTTTCTTTTTCTGTTGTTTTGAAACTTGTCTATTCTGTAGATAGATTGCATACCAAGTATCGAAGGCCAAAATGGAGTCAGCTGCATCACTATTGATTGGGAAAATTGCGTTCATTCTTGAGAACGAAGCATCTTCCATAGCGGCAGTCCGTGATGAAGTTGATGAGCTTAAGCTGGAGCTCATAAGCATGAAATCTTTCTTAATAGATGCTGAAGGCAAGGAACCACAAACAGAAGGAGAGAGAACGTGGGTTACAAGCGTCAGAGATTTGACCTGCGATGCTGAAAATGTCATTGATGAGTTCCTGTATCACATATATGACAAGCAAAGTGCGACTCCATTTGCAAAATTGCTCCACAGAACCATTTACTTTCCAAAGAATCTTTGGTATAGGCATCGAATAGCCAAA